GCTAAGATGTTAAAGCGGGCACTACCACTGTTAAAATTCATTTTAAAAAGAGATAAATATTACAACTAGTAAGTTCCTGTCGGTTCAGCCGTTTCGGGGAATTTGAAGAACAAACGCCGACTTGCAGACAGATAGACAAAAAATTTAATATGTTTTTTTCTCGAAATTACAAAGACACTTCCATTTTGTTTATTTCATTAAAATCAAATATGTTTAATTTTTTATATTTATTCATCTGTAACCTCTATGTTTCGTATTGGCAGTACAAATTCTACAATTAGAATACAATTCAAGTGTTAAACATTCAATTCGGTGTGATAGGAGGCCTCTTTAATTTCTAATTCGGAGTTCGTTTGAGGTTGAAGAGATCTTTATTGGGGCAGGGACCCACGTTAAGTGGTCCCCTCAGATGTCCTTTTGATGGCAGACCGGTCGACACTTGTGACGGCAAATTATTGACCCTTGTTTGGACAAACACTTTGCATTGTAAACATTTGACAAGATTTCACAAACCAAATTTATTGAAATAATCTCTTGATTTACGAGTAAGTTTCTGCTATAGTAAAACCACTAAAATTACATTATTATCCATTTTCTTTTTAGTAAAAATAGTTTTAGTTATAATTTCTCAATAGAAAATCATACTAAATTCTTTTTTTATAGATAAAATAAGGTAACAAACGAGCAAGCGGCCACTTGAATCCATCAACATGGCGAAGCGACCGCTACCCATAGTCATCCCCAACTGAGGATGCGTTGCCAACCCTTAATGGATAAACGAAGAACATAAAAAGGATATTTCCCTTTTCTATGTGTCTCCTCCACTGTTAAATCCACTTTTCCTATTTTATCCTGACAGCCGCAGTCAGGGAAGCTAATTACGTACTAAGAGACTTTTAGTACGCATTTAGTAGACGAAATAATAGTAGACGATGGGGACATAAACCAGAAAGTGTTAGAACTAAAGTAGACGGCTACAAAGGAAGAGGAAGACCGAAGAGAGTATCGATGGATTGTGTGAAAGAGGATATGCTTGAGAAAGGAGTGGTTTCAGATATGACGGCTGATAGAGATGTATGGAAGAGCAGCACATACTGTGCCGACCCTCTATAAGGGATAAGGGCAAGTTGTTGATGATTAGTAGACGAAATCATTTACTAAAAGATCGCTTAAATGACCCTAAGTAACTCTTTAAGTTTGAATACTCTTTGTTTATTTTGAAAATGAGTATTCAAAAAAGACTGCTGTAAATTAATTTTCTACAGTAAACGAAACCATTTTGTTAAATAAACTAAAGCGTTAATTGGCGTCGAGAAAACCACGAGAAGTAGGTTAAAGGTTAAAGAAGTACAAAGTTATGCTGCCAACTTGACGGAGAACTTTTGTATCGATTAATTATCTACGCGGTTAATTATAAAAATAATTAAATATTTTACTTGTTGAGTTTCATTTAATGCTGGGTTGCTGAAGTTTCCATCTATCTATCCTATTATAATAAAGCGTAAACACACTTCTTTGCTGCCTAAGATGTCAGCAATAACAGCATATTTTTGAATAATTCATTCTTTAATGAAAAGCCCTACACTTACGTCACGCTTTAAGCTATATATTTCACGCCATTAAACTTAGGGGGCAAATATTTTGGATAACAACCCTAATGTGGGAAAGAGACCATAAGTTGCTGCCAACATCAAGGAAGCAAGGTTGCCATAGTTTGTCATGTCATGTCATTTTGACATTTGCAATTGATAATTTGAGAAATGTAAACAATAAAATAAAATTTTCGTAGTTTATGCTGATGAAGTTGCACGGGAACAGCTATGATTTAATAATAGTTAATCTTATTGAAACTCAAAAATTACTGGACCGAATTTAAAAATTCTTTCACCAATAAATAGCTACATTATCACTGAGTTGTAATTTAACAGCAACAGCTATTAATAATCGTGTTAATCTGAGATGCAATTAAATATTATTATGTTAATATTGTTTTTTTTTTCTTTACAGATCCAGTCAACGTGGAATGAGTAAGTATTAAAGGACTTTTTGTTGGACGGTTACTTTCCCCCGTCCAGGGCTCTGGAGGTGTGGGGCTATTGAAACACTTTCTTCTAGTTAATCATCATTATATTTAAAATATCTGAACCATATTTTATACAAAGTCCATTAGTTCTACAATGTTACTTGTTCCGTGTCGAGATGTGAAGTCTATCTATATTTCATCAAATGTACAATTCTTTATAATTTGAAATACATTATTCTAAAATTAAAAACCATCCTCTGTGTGTAAAGTGTTGCCTGCCAGTATACAAACATATAAAAACTCCAACACTTTTAAATAGTATTTTTTATTTTTCTTAAAATTATATTATTCAGGGATTAAATATTTAAAGAAATAAAAAGAATTCGATGTAATTTATTTTTAATGATATTTTAAAACATTATTAATAAGAAAATAGACGTAATATTAACACTGGCAGTTATTGTATTAAAAAAAAAAGATATTTTAAAAATAAATCAACGTACGATAACTAAAAAATTTCCATCAAAAAGTCTACAAATTCACAATTCAAGCAGATAAATCATTCAGAGATAAAGGTTTTATCTGATTGCACTTTATCGACCATACGTGAACTACTGCAAGCTATTTTAAACTATATATCCAAGGACATAAAGTACATTTCACTTCAGTGACTTTTACATCAAGTTTTTGGACGGATATGACTTCATACATACTTTATGTGAAACAGAGAAATTATAAAAGGTATAAAATAATGCATGTAACATTCAAGGAAATAAACTTTACCATAAAAATTAAATCGTATTTCAAATGCATTTAGAGCGAGCACCTTTGACTACACAATCGTACAACAGTTGTGCGATTCTCGATTGTATCGTATTCATATGTTATTTGAAAACCGAATAATATTGGTACATGGCGAGGATCGAACCTGGATGTTTTTTTTTATAATATTAGGAGGCAAACGAGCAAGCGGCCTGAATCCACCGAAATGGAAAGCGACCGCTGCCCATAAACTTCCGCAATTGTAGATGCGTTGCCTAACCTTAATTGACGGAGGAGGAGACGCACATAAAAGGGGACATTTCCCCAACCTATGCGTCTCCTTTACCGTCAAATCCACTTTTCCTTCCCATCCTTTCCTTCTAAAAAAAGGGTGGAAAGGGAAAGGGACTAAAATTAGGCCTCCGGCACCACACTCAACAGACGAAACGCGGAATTGCTTCCACTTCACGCCTGTTTTCTGTGTGGAATGTATAGATTATGATTGGGTTCGGGCGCTTAACTGCACTGACGTTCTCGTCTAGACGCGCTTGGTGTTAATGCATCTACAAGAACACACACTTAGTAACACCTAGGCCTTTGATGTGAGGTGTAGACGTGAGTTAATCACACGTTTCAGTTTTTAACTACAGCTTTGCAGTTTTAAGTACTTACTGCTTTAGACTTTTTGTATCCCGCAAAATTCAATTTTAACCTAAAAATGTATGTATCGAGGTTATTATTTTCTTTTGAAAACGATCACTATTTTTAATTTAAAAACTAACTTTAACGCTAAATAGATTCATTACCCCAAAAAATAGACACTAGTTAAACACGTGTTTTAACACTTTGACAGCCGTTGATTACAGACGTCAAAGTGGTTATGTTACATATTTAACTGTAGATATTATTTATTGGTTTAAATTACATTTTGTAAGCCTATGGAAGTAATGTTTCAATGAATATTTATCCAAGTCACGGTATAAGGGTGTACGCACACTTGAAACTAAACTATCGCACAATTGTTTAGTTTCGCTTTGATTCCTATAAGCTTATATAGAGGTGCGCACACTCGATTTTTAGTTGTGCAACTAAACAGTTAAATTGGCTAAACAATCGACAATCGCACCACAGTTGTTGTATAGTTTAGTCAAAGGTGTGCACCCGCTGTAATGGAAGATATTTCTATTTTACGCCACTTATCTTCAGCTACTATTTGAGTTCTAGGTTGGCAGCTCTAACCCTTAGTCGATAATTTCGTTTCGTTATATTGGTACTTGGCGCTCCGTGGTTCTGAATCACATAGAACAAACCTTATATTATGCAAATGGCTAGTTTTTTAAGAGTGGCAAATAAAGGCTACGCCATTTTTTTGTGTCCAGCGATATCGCCGTAATATATTTTGGTTTATTAATAAATATCTTTGTTCATTTGATAATTATAAAGGAGAGTTTTATTATTAATATTATTCTCTCTTGTAGTTTAATATCGAACGAAATAAATTAAGTAAGGCTTCAATTAACGCAGATTCATTCGGAATTGCGAAGGCCTACGAGTGCGCGAAATATTTATTTAACTATAATATTATTAAATGAGAAATGTTTTAATAAACTATGATGTTCTTTTTAATAATAAGTAATCGAAAAACATATTAATTTATGTACTAACTAGCTTTCGCCCGCGACTCCGTCCGCGTGGAATTAAAAAAAAAACAAAAGTGGGTAGCCTATTTGTTCTTCCAGACTGTCCTCTACATCTATACCAAATTTCATCGAAATCCGTTCAGCAGTTTAGGCTACAAACTCTAACAAACATCCATCCATCTAAACTTTCGCATTTATAATATTAGTATGATAGTATGATTGAATTTTGTGTAATTTGAATATTAGTATAACTTTCTTAGAAAGAATTTTACTATTTCTCTAGTTGTTAGATCTTACCGTTGTCATAAACAATTCAGTAGCGTTGCGTAGTCAAGTCGAGTGTTGCCATTATAAATGCAAAACCAACAATACTCTAAGATGTTGCCAAGTTGCCAGTTTCAATGTAAAATTTTGTACTTGTACTACGATTACGAACCTTACAGCCTTAACATAAAATATACAGTGTTTTAAATTTTAGTTGAAACAATGCATGAAATTACGTAATTAAAATCTCCGAGCTATAAAACACACACACAACAGCTAACTACCTGATAGTGGTTCACTTAAAATAATAACTAATGTTTGAATCAAGTTGAATTAATAAAAGTAAGTAGCTAATGTGTTCTTCCAGACTATCCTCTACATCTATGACAAATTTCATCGAGATCCGTACAGCAATTTAGGCTACAAATCACAAACAATCAATCTAAACTTTCGCATTTATAACATTAGTAAGATGGGCTTGTGAAATGCAATATTGACCAATAAAAAATAAATTATAATTATATGGAAGGTGAAAAATAAACACGTTGACGTCCAATATCAATCCTCGGCAGTTAGAGTGTTAAAACACAAATCTTACTTAATTGCAATGAAAGGAATTTAACTTAAGTATTCTTCACGGAACAAGAGCGTTTCTTGTTCCACTTACCGGAACAAGTTTTTCATTATTTACGAATAAAGAAATAACTTTATGCTGCAGAACAATAACTTGAACCGAAACGTTTTATTTAAATGTCACTACGAACTTAACGGAATACGAAACGACTTTTAAACCTAGCTTTTACATAATTACTTAAAAACTTTTTTTCAAAAGGGTTAAAACAGCCAGATGTTTCGCAATTAGGGTTTTAAAAATGTAACAGCGACATCTGTCGTTCTAAATTTAAACACCTTAAATGACAGCAATTAGATACAAAATAGAACCAAGTTTGAATATAACGGTATGTCCGGGATTCCGGGTGCTAATTAATTTTTCATCAAGTCTCAGACTTCATTAGACGACTGCTGAATTTTTAATGACTACCACGAGATGTCGCTGCGTCTTATGTAATACCTGTAGTACACAGCCGAGGCGAAGCGAGAGCAAAGCGTAAGCTTAGCTATATCAAGTTACATGTTAATTTACAAAATAACAAATAAGACTATAAAATTGATATGAATATTTAGTAGACGGGTTTACTGAAAACCATATCTAACGAAGACATTTCACTGCCAAACGATATACACAAACTGATCAAACGTTTACCCTTCTCATTCTCTTTGCGAAAGAAAGAGAGATAACAATGTATATGTTTTTTTTTAACAAGAGAAGGGGGCAAACGTGCGGCGGGAACACAGAGATGGTCAACGACGCCTATGGACATCCGTAACACCAGAGGAATTACAGATGCGTTGCCGGCCTTAGATGAAATTGTAGGCTCGTTTCTTGACCTTATTTGTTTTTACATTTTTTTTTTATTTTAATCGTATCAATTTCGTCAGTCGAATCTAACAATAATATTAAGTACAATATGCATTCAATTTTATAGTCTCGTTGTTACATTGTGCTTCCATTCCACACAGTGTGCTACAAGCACATAATCTGCTAAAGCTAGCTATTTACGATCAGCCCTGGTTACCGGTTCAAACCAGTGTTCCGTACAATTGAATTTAAAAGCAAATTGCGGTTATAAGCTTAACGAAATTAACACAATCGAATTAAGTTTAACTTCAAATATTGTTATTTGCATTTATTGATGTTAGCTTTATTGATATACTTTAACTCGATTTCGAATTACACTCATTTGTATATTAAAGAAAACCGACGTCCAAACAAAATACACTAAAAACAATATATTCTCAAAAAAAAAACAGTACACTAAAAAGTAACGAAATAATCCCTGGAAAATAGTAAACCTCCCTTATTGTAGCTGTTATGTCTATATTGTACAATTATTATTACTTTGATGTCGGTGTCAGCCGAGGTATGCAGTGATATTTCTACGTAAGGGTTTCCACATCTTTGCCATAACAATTAACAATTGTAAGTATAGTAACGTTTAAGTAATGAATCTAAATTGACTGCGTCTCCTTCTCCGTCAATTAAGGGTAGGCAACGCATCTGCAATTGCGGATGTTTATGGGCAGCTGTCGCTTTCCATATTGATGGATTCAGGTGGCAGTTTGCTCGTTTGCCAACCTTATGTTATTAAAAAAGGAGACATGAATTTACTCTCTTACACCACACTCATTAGATTGTTCGCGGGTTAATTTCGCATTTAAGACATATTCTGTGTGGTCTTCTTGTCAAAGGCCTTTTAAGTTTAAAAAAATGATTTTA